CTATCAAAACTGTAACAGTAAATATTTAAGTGATCGTTTCTCAATGGTTTTCGCATAAACTTGTAGAACATGGGAGTCATGACAATATGACGTTTGACGAAAGTTTTAAACGATCATAAAAAGCATCACTTCCAATGAAAAATTATTGGTCTTGGTTCCGCTCTCGGTACCACTAAAAGAGTAATATCCAACTACGAAAATTGCATCCTTTTTGATACCTCTCTACATTAATGATACTCAAAGTCAACATTGATGCAAGAGAAGATTCACAGTTCCATCGACACTTACACCCACCAACATTACATCTCTTAACATAAGTGAAGTTTTACTTAGAGTGAGAAACATCATTGTAAAGTTAAAACCACAAATGTTGACTGCTGCGGTCAAAAGCGGTGTTTTTCAGATTAAAGATGCGGAGAATTTTTGAAAAGTATTCATAGGTATATTGTAGCTCCATGGTATAAGTTTCATAGGTGAAAATCAAGATTTTCGCCACATTTGTGATACAAGAGTCACCATTTACGACTATCTAAGTCTACACCTAGGCTTATCTTCTCTACGTTTACAGTTTTTGTTATGAGACATAGAATTTTGAAACCATGAATGTAGAAAAGATTTTTAAAATAGTGAAAGTTTTCTAGTTGGACATTGCCGTAATTTCGAACTACAAAAGAAAAGTAAATTACATATTTGCGTCAAAACAAATACTAAGATGCATGAATGAATATTATCGATGCTGAAATGCTAAAAATTGTTCATCATGCGATTAAAATTAATCTCAGATCATGTTTAAATGGACAAATAGCAACAGATGACACTGCTTATGTTAAATTTTAAATGGATGTTTTATTTTTTTGTGCGAAAGTTATCTACTTTTCTTGTACAGAATAAGTAATATTCAAAATAAAATTTTTTTAATGATTTTATCTACTCACTTCTAAAAGCTAAAATCATTGATTTGAGTACAGATTTTTTTTTTTCAATATTATATAATTCAATAAAATGTTAAAACTACATTTTTTCGTCAAGAAAATGTCGTCATATACAAACGACATCTAGTGTTAATAAAAATTTCAATAAAATTTTCTCTTCTAATGTCAAATAAAAGAAATGAAAAAATTTTTTAAATAAAATCTTTTTAAAATATTTTTTAATAGATTAAAACAAAAATTTCAACTCGATCGTTTGATCTCACTTGTTTAATATGTTCATTGGTCAAATGACCATCAGGTTTTCGGTATGTAAAATAACATAAGAAATAGTTTGTTTATTTGTTCTGTTGAATAGTGTTATTTAAATTTAGCTTTTTTTTTTTTTTTTTTTGAGAAAATTCAACTAAGAAATTTTTCAATTTTCTAGATTTTCTTTCCAACAGAAAAACCAAGAAAAAGAAATTATGTCGAACGAACATCTTGTTCTAAAAGGCGCTCTTGTCGGTCACAATGATTGGGTTACACAAATCGCAACAACACCTCAATTTCCCGATATTGTTCTCTCGGCATCACGTGACAAATCAATTATAATATGGCAATTGAATAATCAACATGATCCAAGTGGTGAACCAACATCATGTGGTGCACCAAGTAAAGCATTACGTGGTCATTCACATTTTGTTTCTGATGTTGTTATATCAAGTGATGGCCTTTTTGCTGTTAGTGGTTCATGGGATGGATCACTTCGTCTTTGGGATTTATCAGTTGGTACAAGTACACGACAATTTGTTAGTCACAAAAAAGATGTTTTAAGTGTTGCTTTTTCGGCCGATAATCGACAAATTGTTAGTGGTAGTCGTGACAAAACAATTAAATTATGGAATACAGTTGGACAATGTAAAAAAAAAAAAATTAAATATTTGAAATAAGAAAAAAGAAAAAATTTCTTTTTTGAATTTAGGCAAATATACAATTGTTGATGATAATCATACTGATTGGGTTTCATGTGTACGTTTTAGTCCTAATCAAAAAGATCCACTTATTGTTTCAGCTGGTTGGGATAAACTCGTTAAAGTACGATATGAAAATCTTTAACATAAAAAAAAAAAAAAATCCTATTTATTTTTAATCATTATAAAAGGTTTGGAATTTAACCAATTGCAAATTACGTACAAATCATTATGGTCATAATTCATATATAAATACAGTTACTGTATCACCTGATGGTTCATTATGTGCTAGTGGTGGTCGAGATGGTCAAGCTATGTTATGGGATCTTAATGATGGAAAACATTTATATACACTTGATAGTGGTGATATTATCAATGCTTTATGTTTTTCACCTAATCGATATTGGCTCTGTGCAGGTATATAAAGAAAAAAAAAATCATTGAATATATATGTTAAATAAAAAACATTGAAATCATTTTAACTTTTAGCAAGTGGAACATCTATTAAAATTTGGGATTTGGAAACAAAAACAGTGGCCGATGAAGTTAAATCCGAAAAACAATGTACATCATTGGCATGGTCAGCTGATGGTCAAACATTGTTTGCTGGTTTTACTGACAAACAAATTCGAGTATTTGAAGTTCGACCACGTTAAATTAAACAAAATGACAACAATAATAAAAGAAGAATATTTAACATCATTAATAACAATAATGTTGCTTTTGTATGATCGACTAATTTTTAATCTTCTTGTTTTTGTTGTCAAAATAAGAATAAGAAAAAAAGAAAATGATTTCTATCCGTTATTAGTAAAATGGCTTTTGAAAACAATTTAACAAACGATTTTCATTAGCTGAAATAAAACGAAAAAAACAATGTTATTTAATATATTCAATGCGTTTCTTTTTTTTTTTTTTTATTCAAAAAATATTCATCATGATTAAAACAATATGTTCTTCAACATTGTATTCAAAAAAGAATGAAAGATCTATTCAGTAGAATACAACAATAATAATAAAAAAATATGATCTATTTTTTACTCATTTTGAAAATTGAAAACATTTAGTTGTAATATGTCCGTTCATTTTGAGTCATTAAGTTTTAATCATGATGTAATAAATAGTCAAGATAATAACTTACCATAACTTTCGTAGTTGAAAATTTTAATCAACTAACATGCTGTTCTTAAAACTAATCATTTCTCTATATCTTTTAAACACGAAGTTTTTAAGGCCTCCCCACTCTTAGAATAGATTTTCCACTTAGAACGGATCATTTATGCTGAAACTTTCAGGAATCAGTAGTCCTGGTGAGAAACTCTTCGGATAAAAATTTCAGTCTGATATATCGAAGTAGAATAAATTTATGGCTTATTGGTAACCTTGAGGAGAATCTTTATAACTTTGCCATTACAAAATGTACAGAGCTCGAGGTAGTTTCAAATTATATCCAATACTGTGGAACAGTTTTTCTCCGACCAGATTTTCAAAATTCGCTTTCATTCATTTTTTATGATCATTTTAGCACATATAATGTTAAAATAAGCAAAAAACATTTCATCGAACAACACTAAGTCTCGCTTTTCTCAGCAATAAAAGGCAACTATACAAAAATGTGGTTGATTAAAAGTTTACTCTCGTTTAGACCTGTAAAATAAAGAAAAGGTTGTTTATATCGTGAGCTGGGTGAACGTTATTTCAATTTTTCTTATTGAAAAACCATGTTCTGAGAGAGAAACGCTATGAAGTTCAAATATAGATTTTCGCATTCAAATACTTCGAAAAAAAGTATGTTAAAATCACATATTTATAATAAATAGAGATGGAGTTTTTCAAAGTACGTAGCAGTTGACATAAGTTAGTACTATTGACCGTGTTTAAATTACATAAGAATGCTTATTCAGTGCTGATTTGAGCTAAAAGGCAATCTTCTCAAACCTAAAAAACTTTAAAAAGTGTACGAAATTTTCTTGGAAAACCGAGTGGCAGGATCGAAATTTCTTTCTAAAGGCTACTAAAATTTGACATTTTTCCTGGGAAATCATGTGTATTCGAAAAAAGGAAACATCGCTGCATATATTTGTGACAAAAACTGAACTTCAGTTTTTCTTCGAAAAAGTGGATTTTCTGAGGGAAGAACCTTTAAAAGAGTAAACATTAAAACTAAGATAATAATATAATAATGTTTATACTCGTCTTCATCTTGGACTATAGAACTTCATTGCTTTTTTATCTTTTTTTATTTGATAACCCTTTTAAAAAAAATAGACATGCCACGGGCAGGAATCGAACCTGCGTTATCCGGACCACAACCGGATGTACTACCATTATACTACCGCGGCGATAAATCCTTGTCAAAATAAGAATTTTGATTTAAAAGTAATCTGTATAACTTAATGGTTATACTATGGCAATGATAAACTCATCAATGAAACTTTAGTATGTGTTAATTTATGAAGTGAGCACGTTTTATATTAATTTTCTTTTTCCAAAATTTCTATTATGTGCTCATCAGATGCGAAAGAGTTGATTTCGATTGCATAATTCGTTCTTTTCTTTATTATAACTTATTATTTTCAAACATAGACTATTGAATCATGTCGTTTCTTCGCTAAAGAAAAATTAAACTAAAACAAAAGATAGAGAATGATGATTGTAATAAATTTTTATCCTGTATTTCTATCTAAAAATTGTTGTAATTAAACAATTAATTATTATTCGATTAATGTCCAATTATGATATTCTACTTATTGTTTTTGTTTTCAAGAAGATATTATCTGATTGCTAATTCTAAGAACAAAAAAATAGACATGCCACGGGCAGGAATCGAACCTGCGTTATCCGGACCACAACCGGATGTACTACCATTATACTACCGCGGCGCAGTAGTCTTTCCAAAGTTAGTCTTTTGATGAAGAGCGATAATTTTAACCGTTCTATCAATACTTAGTTCATGTTGACTCTAAAACCGCACACATGCTCAAAGAATAAGAAAACATTTTTTTAAGATACGTTATAGCGAAATCTTTTTATTTATTTAAAAAACTAAAACCTAATTTCGAACAAAAACTACAATAAATAATACAAAGATTACGTTTCTGGCAGTTTATCTATGAATTTATTTTTTCTGTTCTTCAACAAGTTTTGTAGTAGCTTCCTTTGGTTCACCAGATTTTGTAGCTTCTTGTTGTTGTTCAACATATGGTGCTGCTATTTTCAATAGACCATCATCAGTTAAATGTGGTTGAAGTTGTTCAACTTGTGTACCTGGTGGTAATGTTGTTGATTTGAAATAGAATGATCGTTCACAACTATTATCATCTTTATGTCGACGTTCACATTTGATATTTAATTCATTATTCTTTGTTGATACTTTGATTTGTTCTGGTTTACAGTGTTTCATTTCAATAGACATTTCAAGTTGTTTTTTATTATCACCTTTATCAACAATTTGTGGTTGAAAATCTGAACCATGCAAGAAACTACTATAATCAAAATGTGGATCTCAATGTTGACCAAATTGACTTAGATTTTGATTTTCATTCTTTGCTTGAGCTACTCGACGTTCTACTTCAGGATTATGAATTGGAACCTCAATAACTAATATCGTATTTGGTGTTACATATGATGCTAAATGATTTGGATCTATACAAATAAAAAAAAAGATGAGTATTGAAATTTCATATAAAAATAAGTTTTTACATACAAGCATGTTCAGGTAATACATATGATTTTCGTAATTCTTGAATATTGTAATCATCATCAGGTTGACGTTCTTCTTGTTTAGCTTCGACAATTACTTTTCGACCTTCAACTTTTGTTTGAATTATTTCTGGATTGAATTTAGCTACATTAAGTTGAACACGAAACTTTTAAAAATTAGATCCATTTTATTTGTATTTTTGTCACCAATTTGTGCATTACCTGATGGTTACATTGACCGTTGTGATTCATTAACCCATAGAAAAGTATTTGGAATAATAACAACAGCTGTTGGTGCTGTATTTAAATCATGCCATGGATCAAAGAAATCCAATTGATCACCAAAATATCGATCGATTGGATCATCATAAAGACGATAATGATAGATTGGAAAGAATGCTATTGTTAAAATTGAAGAAGTGTTTTGCTCAGAAAGCTTTTTATAGTCACAATTGATTGTTAAATTACCTATTTAGAAAGCATTCACAGACACATATTTATAAGGGTGATAATGTGAGAGTAGAAAATTGAAGATTTACCGTGGATATTCTCGAATATTCGTGTTTGCTCGTTGACATTTAAGCTATTTTTTTCTTTTTTATCATTTTTTTGTTCTCTTTCCATTTGTTTTTTTTCTTTCCAGCTGATGAATGACGTTGATGGTCATCATGTAAGAAAGAAAAAAGGATTTGATATCATTACATAGAGCACATGTAAATATGCAATTGCTTTCAGTGAAGCATACTATTTTATTCGCCTGTAATATTTGACAGTATGCAACGAGGGTGATCAGAGAATTCTCTCTGAACTCCTCGTTGGATATGTAATTACTTACAACAACTCGAATTCTTTACTTCTATATTTCAGTCTTAGCTAGAGCCAATCTTGTTTAAGTGGCATTTTCGCAGCAAGTCAAGAACACTTCAAGCTTTTTGAGAGTTGATCCATTGCCCAAAAGAGTACTTTTGCCAGCTGACGCATAATCTAGGCACATGAACACTTGTACAAAGAGATCAATATTGTAAATATAATATTAGTACCCAAAGCTATACGAATAATGGAAGTATTTGTTCTATCTGAAGATTGGTATAAGATGTAAATAAGCGGCTAAGATGACTGAGTTTCTCTTGTTTTATGTGAAGTTTATTATCAAAAAAAAACATACAATAACCAAAAATTATCGTGTGAGAAAAAATAAAATTTCATTTTCAATTTGCTCACAACAATTTAGACAAATATTTTTGGTTGAATCGCATGTTATAAAAAACACTGTTCTATTGCAGAATTGTTCAGAATGTGAATTAATAACATACAAGATAGAAAGTCTTACCAAGCAAACATGTTTCAGATTGAATTATATTCATTTAGATTCGTTTTCATTCTTCAAAATACAACAGAGTATACGAACTGGATAGAGTTTTCGGTAGAATTAAATAAAGGGTCGAACACATAAAAACTAAGGAATTAAATTATATTGATCGTGTGAAGGAAGAGCTTCATTAGCTACATAATAAAATGAAGATTGATTTGCGTTCATTCTAATGTATAATGGATAGTTCATGTTAATTCATCTTCTAAGTGACTTTTCGCTAGTTGATCACAATATAACTTGACTCCCCAAAGCATTTATTTAACATCAGGAACACATCAAACCAATGGTTGAAGAGCTTTCTTAAGAGAGACCAGCGGTGTATCTTCATATCTTTGACATGGAGAAGTCTTTGTATTTGATTCTAATACTAATATGGTAGTCTCCTAAATATTTCCTTCCGATTTGAAGCCATACACCCGATTCATCAATAGGTCTTTTTTCATTTCAAATAAAATATAACAATTTATGGAGAAGCAGAATTTTTCTGTCTTTCGTCAAGAAAACATTGATGTTGAAAATGAAAATCATTATATTCAATTAAAAGGGAGAGCCATTTGAATGTTCCGATTTTATTTTATTTATTTAGAGAATAATTATCAATCTAACAAAATAATAGAATCTTTTTCCAATCAAATGATCTTTGAAACGATGACATGTTTTAAGAATAAAACAATTTTGTAAAATCTAGTAACTTTGAATAGTTTATTGTTTGAGTGGTCATCATTTATTATAAAAGTGTTCTATGATGTGGTTGACCTTCTTTTTTTTTAATGAATGGATAATCAAGTTTTAATAATGTTCAAGATAATATTTTGTATTATCAATTTTCAAAATATGATCTAATATTTAAATGATAATGTTTTATACTTGAAACCAATAAGAACAGAAATCCAAAGCAAGCTAATAATTCGATCTAGTAAAAAAGATCAATACTAAAATAAATGTTGACTGATTTGAAATAAAATTATAATTATTTTAAAATATATTTTCATTTTTTATCATCTTTATCAAAATATTATTTTGTTACACTTGATCTCAATTAATAATAAATCATTGTACTGTATTTTCTATTCTATTGACAATCACTTAATACACCTGCTGAGTAATTGCTTTTCGATGAATGATTGGGTGATGATATATTTGTTATATAAGCTTTAGTAAACTTCTCTTATATTTTAAACAAATGCAGATAAACAGTGCACATGGATGAATTGCATTTCGAAGATGAAAAAAAATTCTACTACATAAGTTTGAACAGTTTTTTTTTAAACATTCCTTAGTTCCTACTCTACTTGGATTAAAATTTTCAAATCTGTTCTTTGCCTGGCATTACTTCCCGAGTATTTCTTGGTAACTGTAAGAGATTAGTCAATAACTTTTTTATCAGTTTTATTTTCACCTTCTTTGATTTCAATTTGTTCTTCCGAGCTTGAGTGACGTTTTTAGACATGTTTTTTACTGACAATACTCAATTCTTTGAGTGACCGAGAGGTTTACAGATACATGTTGATTAGATTCTTCTTTTTAACGTCTTTAGATGGATATTTGATAATATTGTATACAATCTCATTCACAATCTTTTTTCGAAAACTCAAAAATTGACAGTTGAAAAAATACTTGAATTATATATAACTACTAATAGAGTTCTATTGCAATTCAACCATATGCTTGTTGTCTATGATATCATATACATCGTTAAAATAAAAAGTACAATATGAGACAATATTTTTTCGATATAGATTCACTATTTCGATCAGTTTTATGTTTTACAGTATTTGTTATCCTCTCCTTAAATACAAACTAAGAATCTTTTATGTCATTTCGACTTTATTTACTTGAATAAGTGGAAAATATAATAAAGAAAAAAAAAAAATTTATATTATTGTTTATTGATATTGAACTTCAATTGAACGTGCTTGTGTAGGTTCAATAAATGGTGCTTCAATTTCCAATTGTCCATCAGGATTTAAAAATGATCGTAATTGATCAACTTGTGTACCAGGTGGTAATATAATAGATTTCGTTAAAAATGATCGTTCTGAACGATTATTATCATTATAACTATGTTCAGCTTGTACAAGTAATTCATTATTTTTAACTGAAACTTTGATTTGTTCAGGTCGATAATTTTTTACTGCTAAAGATAGTTTTATTTGTCTTTGTCCATTACCTACATCAACTACGCGAGGACGAAATTCCGATGAAGCCAAAAAACCTGGATAATCAAAAATAGGATCACGATATTGTCCAAATAACAAAAGAGCTTGAGGATCAGCAAGTATTTGAGATTGACGATGTTCTAGTTGAGGAATATTAATGGGTACTTCAATGACAAGCATATTATTTGGAGTAACAAATGAAGCAAAATTATTTGAATCTATTTAAATTAATATATAAATATTGATATTTAAATATGAAAAAAAAATTTTTTTTCTTACCAGCATGTTCAGGAAGATCATATGTTTTTCGAATTTCTCGAACACTAAAATCACCATTAGATTGACGATCTTCTTGTTTAGCTTCGACAATTACTTTTCGACCTTCGACTCTTGTTTTAATTGTTTCTGGATTGAATCCAGCTACATTTAATTGAACACGAAATTTTTCTGATTGAACCGGAATTGGAACTGGTATCAGATTATTTGTAATTGGAAGAAGAGTATTACCACCAGCAAGATTATTTGATGTTGTATAAAATGATGATGCTGATGATGATGATGCTGCTGATGATGCTGCTTTACGAGCTATTCGATGTGGTTGATGAATCCATCGAAATGGATTTGGAAAAGCTGATAAAGCTGTTGGAAATGTATCGAAATCACGCCATGGATCAAAAAAATTCAATTGATCACCAAAGAATCGATCGAATGGATCATTGAATAAACGATAATGTTGAATTGGAAAATAAGCCATATTGTGTTGTGATGTAAACTAAATAACAGCCAGTAAAAAAGAAATGGTATGCGTTGTAGACTTTGGACGATATTTTTATATAGGTTGGGTATACGTCAGAATGTAATTAAATTGCGTTGTTTACATGTGCGTTCGAGAAATTATTTACGTATTTCTTCTCGTTCTCTTTTTTTTCAATATCTCGAATGACGTATAAATGTTCTGTTTTTGTATGAAAGAAGCAGAGAACAGGTATTGATCATATGTGGTTTGAGTCCTTGATACAAAAAAAAAGCACGAGCGTGATTTATGTAAAGAAGATAGCTATCAAAAAAAAAAACAACTTTGCATACGTCATCGAGCTAACCTTGATTTAGCATATGTGAGAATAAGCTTTTTTTATTTTTTTTTCAATTGCGTATTCTTAGGAAATAATAAAATCTTCTGAATAACATCAGTTTGACGTCAATCGGATTGATAATTTTAACCAAAAAAGATGGCCTTGAAAGGTTAGAAAAATATAGCATAGATGATGAGTAAAGTAGAAAGGGGTTATTGAATACATTAATTGCACAATACAATTTCAAAATGTTGATATCACGTAATTTATTGAATTTCATTTGATTACTAAATATTCTGATTACTATTTTATGTTGACGATCAAATATGGTGATTTACTTTGAGATACAGAGTAAAACTCTAATGATGAGCAAAATATTTAAGTACTTTACTATGAAGAAAAATATTGTATATTTGAAAAAAACTTGCCAATGCGGCCCCATGAGGAGCCAACATGCAGAAGTCACAAGTTCGGACTGTCATAAAATCATGACATATTATCAGGTGAATTAAAATAATCTATTTAAGAAAATACCAAATAAATATAAAAATTAAAATTATTAAAATATTTATAGTCGACAGGAGTGCTCTGAAATTTTATCCTTTCGGAAACGTTTGTATTTAAAATTACTATTCTACTAATTTATTACATTTATTTAACATCGTTATACTGAATAATAATAATATATACAATGTATACTATAAGAAGCAAACGAATATCATTGTATTCTTCGTTTCGTCGATTCAACTATCATATAGGCCTGCTACACATATTGTTTTAATCGTTCAGTAAGCATCTGAGCACACGTTCCTTTCTCTTGGCGAACTTTGATATATACTGTCTAGTTTTGCCTAAATTTAAAATTAAATTAGTTCAAAGATTCTTTATATTCAGCTTATTTTAACTCTGCTAGATAAATAAGATCACCACCATATTTATAGACACTTATCATAAAATTCTTTTGTTACATTAAATACTGAAACTCACAATATTTAGACGAGTTAGAATTTACATTAGACATTTAAAATTCACAGAATGCTTTAGAAGATTCTACAAAGTTTCAAAATCATTTAAGTAATATTATTATTGATGTGCTGTTTTTTCATTGATTGAAAAACGTATTTAATAACCTTTGACTTCTCATTTACCACCTCAAATTGTTAGAAACTAAGGAAGAGCCGAAAAAATCTAGATTTAAACTAACATTCTGTGTTTTCTTCTAAAATATATGTGAGTTTCACAAAATGATTTTTTACTAAACTAAAATCTATTAAATCTTGAATAGTATTACACAAGTTTCGAAGAGAAATTTTAAGTCTTCTAACGGCACGTATTTCGTGATATTTCGTAATCGGTCTCTATTGGACTATGTCTACATGATTGTGACACATTTTGCGTTATATTTAATTTATTTTTAAGGTTTTTATTAAAACAGTTGAAAGATACTTTTCACCAAGAAAGAACAATAAATTGTTCACACTGCATTTGTTTCAAATATTTATTGTTTTATAATCAATTTTAGGTCATTTTCAACTGATTGACGTTTCAAAGAAGTAAGTTTTACATTAGTAATTGTTATTAGCGACAAATGAACCATAAAAAAGAGAGAACTTCTCGCTTTCCGTTAGTATCTAGCGTTGTTATCATTTTGAACCAACTTTTTTTTATTGTCATTAAATGCTGTATCAATGTATCTCTTTCATTTCGAAAACTAAACAGAACTTTAGAAAACTATTGAATGTAACTTTCAAAATTCTTTA